TTTTTTTTTTTTTTTTCATGGAAGCCTTTTTCCTCAGTATTCCAGTCACCTTGACTTTGCAGCTGCCGCCTTATAGAGTGTGTTGCTTATCCCGTATAACCCCAGTCTGTCAATTAGGTGTTTGAAAATTAATCTCTTTAGCTGCAAATACCATGCCAGCTTTTCTGGAAGCGTCTGCAAATGAAGTGTTATTAATTCACACGAGCAAAGCTTTTTTTTTTTTTTTTCATGGAAGCCTTTTTCCTCAGTATTCCAGTCACCTTGACTTTGCAGCTGCCGCCTTATAGAGTGTGTTGCTTATCCCGTATAACCCCAGTCTGTCAATTAGGTGTTTGAAAATTAATCTCTTTAGCTGCAAATACCATGCCAGCTTTTCTGGAAGCGTCTGCAAATGAAGTGTTATTAATTCACACGAGCAAAGCCGGTGTTATGAATAATGTTATCAAAACAGATTTCCGCGCATTTAACACGTCGCCGCGATTAAAAGGGCCCCTTAAGTATTTTTATAACTGTGAAACGACTAATGGATTTGCATCCGTCTTTGCAAAGTGTTGCTCTAAGCCAGTCCTTTTCAAGTCCCCGCTTCTTCTTGTGCTTCTTTTTGTTCGTGTTTTCATCATCGTCGTTAAAAAGCAAGCCAAGTAGAGTACAAGTATGGATTAGTGCCAGCAGAGCTGCTCCCAGCGGAATCCAGAACCAGACAAAGACATGTCGAAGTTAAGACAGTTACTGTGAGCCGATATGTCCGATACTCATACTAATACTTGTTCCGTTTAAAAAAAAAAAAAAAAAAAGACAATTATGAGGGATTTGCCTCCCGGACATCAAACGGCTTGACATCATTTCATTTTTTTGGGAGAGTGTTTGAAATGCCAGCCACATCCATGTACATCGAACCATGCGTGTAAATCCCATGTGGCGGGGGCAGTGTTTTGCCACCAATGAGTTGCAACCATCTTCCAGAGTTGCTGAAATTCCAGTCGGGATTATTTGCATTAGTCGCCATGGTTTAGGAACAAGGCGGAGTATGTCAATATTTCCGGCCACGGAATAATGATCAATCTCGAGGTTTCATATTTACGTTAAAAACAGGATGTCAGTATCTATGAATATCGCTGAGGTCTACCATTTTGTTACTAACGTCAAATTCATTGATGTTACCATAAATTTTCATACCCATTTACTTCATACCTGGGAGGAGATTTGTTCAATACCGAAACCTGCTCTTAGACAGTTTGTATTTATCTGCACCAGCGTTCATTGACTGTGTTGCCATGTTTCCAACTGAACCGCACAAACCGGGAAACCAACCAGAGTTCCGTTAAAACAAACTAAAGGCAGCTAGGGTGAAATATAACGACTCCAAAACCTGCCACAAGGGTTAAAAGTGTCTTAAGATAACTTTCGGTGTTACAATCAAAACTGGATTTGGAATTGAGGCGCTTGATCATTCATCTCCGGAGTCACCAGTGATTCCTTTGATTGCCAACCTGTTTTTTGTTTTTGTTTTTTCCTGATGTTCCATATTTAGCGGGGGCTCTGCGCACTGCCTCGTGTGCATCTCTGCTCTGGCTGAGTAAAGCACTTGTTCATTTGCACTGAAGGGTAACATGAAACAGGGCCGAGCCTCCTGATGGACAGGCAGATTTCACCTTCGCCAGTGAATGATAATGCATTATTAAATTTGCCTCTCTGCTCACTAGATACACTTAGCTGACCACAGCATATTTATCTCCCCATCCGACGCTCTCCGTCTTGGCAGGAGAGAGCATTCTGTCACTTTTGAGGCATTTCAAAGATTAAAAAGAACCTCTCTCTTTTCAACGTCCCTAAAAGCATCCCCCCGTAGCCCCCACACCAAACCACCACCACCACCCACCTGAGTGAAATGTGATTAGCGGGGAGCTGGTGTCACGCGATGGAACATTCATGAGCGGAGAACAAATATCCAAATGAACTCCCCGCGTCCCCGCTCTTGCACCATCAGCATTCCTGCTCACATGGTGCAAGAAGAAATTTGATTGATCCTCTATTGAATTATTATTTTTTTTCTGCACTCTTTCATTTCAACGGCACGCACTGACAAGTTGTTTGATCACAAAGCATTATTGTCTGCCAAGTCACATTTCAGGGGCTCTGATGGCTAATGATCTCGCTTCCTTCGTCCAGGAAAAAAAAAAAAAGTCAGGTAGTCAGCACCCCGTTTGAAGCTGCGAAGCGCCAAGGACACCGGGAGGACCCAACACAACACGCGGCATTAAAGTCAGCGTAGATGAAGACAAGAAAACTTTTAATGATAGGCAGAGCATCAATGTCAGGGAAGTGTCTTTAACGTTGTTTTTTTTTTGTTGTTGTTGTTTTGGTTTTTTTCTCAAATGCCCATCGGAAAAAAACAGGACCTCAAAGGCAAAAATAATCACACTACATATTTGGACTAAAATACACCCAATCAAGCAAATCTTCTTTATTGGATCGCATTACCTTGCGAAAACCACGTCACTTTGAAATGCAGTCAGAAAGACGGGGTCTCCTGGATTTACTTTGGCATGTTATCCTGGAGCTGACTGAATAGAGACTCTGGAGTACCAGAACTACACTGTTGTTTTGTGGTCATTGGCCTCCGTGACTTTGGGGCGAGTGGCCAGTCAGTCACTGCTCACCAAAAGACAAATAACCATTCACACTCACATCTCAATTTAGTCTTTAATGAATCGAGCGTGCATGTTTTTGGGAAAGAGCAAGGAACTTAGACAAGATTGGAACCCGAGACCTCTTGACTGAAAGCGGATGCTAACCACTGTCTCACCGTGCTGCCATTTTTCAATGTGCACGATCAATGAGAGTTTTTGTGGTCCAGTTTTACTAGTGGAGGAGTCGTTCCCCTTTCTTCATTCCCCATGCAGAAATATGGGAGTTCAACAAACTAGACCCACTAAATTAAATAAAAAAGTAAAATAAAATAGTAACGTAAAAAGTAAAAAAAATTGCCTAACGTAGATATATTTTAAAACTGTTGTTATTGATTTATAGTGCCATGTCAATGTTTTTCCAACGCATTCATCGTTTGTCTTTTTCTGGATGACTCTCAAAGACAGCATAATTTCATGGTATCCAGAGGTGGCCAGGATATATGCTGTGAAGTATCAAACACCATTCCAGTCGTCAATGTATTGATCTTTAGCGTATCTGCTCCTCAATGCGCTCGTGCAGCAGCCCTTAACAAACTCTTTTTCACAGCCCTTTATTTTTTATTATTCTTATTGTTGTCCTCCCTGAGAGCACACAAGGTGAGTTTTACATACCTGAGCATCTGCTATTATGCAGATCGCGGCAGCAGGCTTCCATCCCAACGCCCTTGGACAACAGCATTAAGCAATTATGAAGATTATGTACAATGCGGGAACATTTGTGATTCAAAACAATACATATCTTGGCGGCGGCGACTGTTGCGGACAGATAAGGTTGACCCTGAATATGTATTTCTGTACTTTTGGAGACGTTCTTGCAGGGGTGGGGGTCTTTTTGGTATAATTTAATATTTGCATGTAAACAGTAATTAAGGGATGCCGCGGACACGCTGGGGCCAGGGCTTGCCAAGGTAAACAGCGAGCGGCCCCGCTCGCTCGCAGCGCTCCCGTCCTGTTTACAGACTCGCGAGCGGTGCTCCTCATTGGCAGCGCTCATAAAAAAAAAAAAAAAAAAAAAACACAC